AGCCTGCTGCCGCCCCTGCCCGCCCTCCGCGCTGCCCTGCCCTGCCCTGCCCTGCCCCACCGCCCGCCCTCCACCCCTGCTGCTGCTGCTGCTGCTGCTGCTGCTGCTGCTGCTGCTGCTGCTGCTGCTGCACCTGCTGCCGCCCCTGCCCGCAGCGCCAGGCCAACACCGGCCCACCTCCTGCTTCAGCGGCCCCCAGGACACTCCAGCTCTCTTCCCAGGCCGCCTCCCCCTGCCCGCAGCCAGGGCGCCTCACCGCGCACCCCCCGCACCCCGGCATTCTCCTCGTCCCTCCCGCCTCCCGCAGCTGGGGAGGAGGCACCGCCGCCGGAGAGGGCTGGAGGGGTGGCCTTCGCGGCCGGGCTTCCAGGGGGCGCCTCACACTGCTGCGCCCTGCCCTCCTACGGCTGGGCACGACGCTGGGAGCCCCGGCAGCTGGCACACGCCCGCATGCCCGCCCGCCCGCCCGCCCGCACCCACGGGGTCCCAGACACCCAGCCCCGGCGGGCCCCGCCCGTGGAGACCTGGGGGCCCCGGGGACGCTCCCCGCTCCCCATCCCACCCCTCTCCCACCCCCACCCCTTCCCCCACAGCCACCCTCACTCCCACCAAGCAAGCAAGCAAGCAAGCAATCAGCCACGCTGGGCACCACCACGGGTCGGGACCGGGCACCGGGGTCGCCGCGCCGCGCCGCACGGCCCACTCCAGCGCACGGGGTCACCCTCACCCACCGACTGATGCACACACGCACGCACAGGCCAGCACGCAGGGACCCCACTCGCTGGCCAGCACGCAGGCAGCAGGCACGCACTCAGTCCTACACCACCCACAGGCTTCGAGGCACAGGAGGGATTTCGGTCCACAGGGCAGGTTTGCCCACGCCACAGTGGGGCGCCTGGGCATCCCCTACACCCACGGGCGGGACTGCTGCGGCGGGTGTCTGCGGTGGGGGTGTGTCTGCGGGGGCCGGGGGAGGGTGCCAATGGGTAGGCGAGTATGGTTGTGGGCCTCTGGGCAGCCGGCCAAGCCTTGGGTTTCTTCTGCCTGAGTCAGGGATGGGGGTCTTTGCTGTCAGGGTGCAGTGTGTGTGTGTGTGTGTGTGTGTGTGTGTGTGTGTGTGTGTGTGCGAGCGCGCGTGTTTGTGTTTGTGCGTTTGAGGGAGAGCGAGGCCAAGAGGGAGATGGGATACCCAGCCAGAGAGAGGAGAGAGAGAGAAACAGTCAGAGCTGTCCGATTAGAAATCACGAGTTCACAGCTGCTTTTTGGTCTCCCATGCAGGTGCAGCGTCACAAGCCTTTGGGCTGTGCTTGACTGCTTTTCCAGGCCACAAGCAGGGAGCTGGAGGGGAAGTTGGGTTACCAGAAGAACGGGCCCCAAAGTATGATCCTGGCATGTTCAAGGAGAGAGCTTTAGGTGCTCTGAAGATTTGATTTTCCAATTTTGAGGTTTGGTAGGCTTTTCAATACCCTCATCCCTCACCGTTGCCTGAGTGTGAATGCTCTAGCTCTGCTTCCTGCTAACGTACTCCATGAATGCTTAATTGATTGTGAAGCCACCCATAAAGCAAACAGAAATTACGTTCCAGACTCAGGATTTCAGCTTAGTCCAGCTCTGATTGTTGATATCATTTGGGAAATGACGTCTCAGATGGTGGATGTTCGTCAAAGAAGTACTTGAAGAAATTGAATTCAAATTGATCAGTTTTGAGAAATACTGACCTAGTCCATGACACTGGGGTCCATGAACAACTTACCTGCAGAGTGAGTTGCATATCGTTTAGAGTCCTGCTCTGTCCCCAGCTATGTCCCTTTGCCGTTCTGGTTAGGAGGTGGGCTGTTTCCGGTCGCCCTAGGCTCCCAGTGTGGGCAGGTGTTAAAAAGGCTTATCTGAGCGCTCTAGGCTGGTGATGGCATCTTGCTGGGAAGGTGCGTGTGTGCTGATGTCTGCCTCTCTTCTCCTGAGGTCAGCAGTAGCCACCACAGCAGCCCATCCCGCCCACTTCCTCCTAATCACCTGGCAGAAGCCCTGCTTCCAAACCCCGGCTGAGTCAATGTCCTCCCTCAACAGATGACCACGGTGACTGAACTCCAGTGAGAGTTTTGAAGGAGAAACCACCTTTAAGCCAGGCAGGAGGCAAGAGCTGTGGATTACAAACAAGCTTTGAAACAGCCCAGCAGTACTGTCACTCCCTGGTGTTCTCATGGACTCGTCTGCTGCGATAATTAAATGGCAAGGACAAACAAAAACCTACTAAAATTGGGTCCTGGTGTGTGGATGAAAGCTTAGAGGCTAGGAATGGGAGTGGATGGGAGTGGTGGCGGTGGCTGACAGCAGGTGCCTGTAGAAACCGCTAGGCAAACATCAGAGCGATCCCCAAGGAATGAAAACATGAGTGCCAATCAGCCAAAACCAGTCACTCTACATCCTTCACTCCTTTGAAAAGTTTAAAGCGTCCATGCACCTGGTAGATAAGGAATAAATACAGGTTTGTTTTCTGAATTTTGTGGTATCAAAAGTAGGGTTCGCTCTTGAAGCTTCCACCATGGATTTGGTACCTAGGTATGTATTTAAGGATTTGGTATTTAAATCACTTTTTTTTTTGGGAAAGAGATTGCTGTTCCTTAACATAGGGATGATATCCAATTACATTTATTTTGAAACTCTTAATAGTACTGATGTACTTTATGCCATAGTAGCAGGATTTCCTCCACAAACTGGTGGCACACGTGGGAACCAGAGCTGAAGGGAGCACGGCAGCGCCGAGCGCGCAGTCCACGTCCTGAGTGTCCACACACCCAGGCGATGCCCAGGTCGCCGCGTTCCAGGCCTCGGTTCACCGTGGACGTGGACGAGCGGAGCGCCCACACAGCGGCCACGGAGGGGGACACGCCCAGGAGCCGCGCCTGCGCAGGAGGAGCCGGGGACGCGCCCACCATAGAGCAGCCAGGCCTCCCGCCTTCCTAGAGAGCTTCCCGGAAGTGCTTTTGGGGCAAGATGCGCGCTGCCGGGTGCTGTGTCTCGGCGGCCTTAGGACTTGGCGGCTGCGGGGCCCTTGTCGGGTGCCGCGGTCCTCCAGTGCTCCCCCGAGCGCGGCCTCGTCCCAGGCCGGCCTCCGTCCCTCGTCCCAGGCCGCTCTGGGACCGGCGGTGAGTACGGGCGGGCTCCGGGCCGGCGGAGGGTGCGGGGGCCGGAGCGCCGGGGGCGGGACTCGGCCGCCAGGCCGCCCTGAGCGGCGCAGGCCAAACTCCCTTCATAGCTGTCCGTTTTATTAATTCATTAATTGATTTTTTTTCAGTCCGTCTTGTTTGTGTTAAACACAGGAAAAAGCGGCCATGTTAGTAACGGGGAGAGGTTGTCACCCCACCCCACCCCGCCTTTAAAGATATACTTTGTTTTTGGAAGCCTCAGTTGTCCCTGGAAACTTTTCGTTTTTGCTGTTAGGCTATTGTATGTTCAGCAAATGATGTTTTGACTTACAACAGATTCATCATTGCCATTTTAGAAGTTGTGTAGAATTCAGCGTTTTTCCGGAATGTTTATTGGCAAGGGCGTGCCTGGGAACACTCCTCTTGAGGGTCCATCTCCAAAACCGAGCGCACGCAGGTGTGAGCGTGTCAGGCTACTTTTCCTAAGATTTATTTTATTTATTGGAAAGGCAGAATTAGAGGGGGAGAGAAAGGAGCTCTTTCACCTGGCTCTCTGCCGGGATGGCCTCAGTGCTCCTGGGCCAAGAGGAGTCCAGGGAGCAGGAGCTCCTAGGCTCTTAGGTGTGAGCAGAGACCCCGGCAGCCCGGGCGCGTTGGCTGAACCCCAGGTGGGGTGCACGGGTCACAGGCAGCATCTTCAGCTCTTGCCAGGCACCAGCGGGGTCCTTGGGAGTGAACCTAGGGAAGCCGCTGGAGGTGGCCTGGTGCTCGGGGTCCCTGCCCCCCTCTGGGAGACGTGGAAGGAGCCAGGCGCCTGGATCCGTTTGGGCAGTCAACCAGTAGGTGGAAGATCTCACTTGCTCTGCCTCTTTCTCCCTGTGACTGCCTTTCAAGTAAATAAAAAACTATTTAAACAAACAACTGCAGATTCCATCAGCAATCCTAAAGGCATATTTCTGTTTGATTAGTTTAGTTGGGTAAGCAGCAGTCACTTCCGCAGGTGAATGTGGAGTTTGGATTTTCTGTGGTTAAATGGAAAATACAAGTGTGACAACATTCAGCCAACACAATTTGAGATGATGATAAACACAGAGCCCGAACCACCTTATCTGGAGCTTTTAATCTGAAACTTTCTTGTTTTCAGCTCCTAAACATTGTTTCAGACTTAGTTGTGAGGAAGACTACTACTGCTAGTACCTTCAGCACCTCGCATGTGACAGGGCCTGAGATCCAGGACAGGCTTCAACAGTGTCGATTGTAAACTTAACTAGATGTGATTTGAAGAAGATGTGAAAGAGTCAGTTTTCAGCTTAATACTGATGTGTATGCACACATCTAAGAGAAAGGTATGTGGTGCTGTAATTTTGTACTCATTTATTCATAGGTTGTAATTCTTTCAGATTGACTGAAAGACTGGCTAATTGGAGAAGGATGAGACTTAAATGGAAAGTTAGCCAGAAAAGGATCTCAAAACTCAATTTAAAAAGAAATTAAGAAATAGGTCAAAGTGTGAACAGATATTCCCCCGAAGAAGATATGTAGGTAGAAGCTAGGTACGCACAGACATGCTGAACATAGAGATGCAGATTCAAACCACAGGGTGTTACAGTACACCTATTAAAATGTGTAAAGTCAAACAAAGCATTCAGTGGTTGGCATTGTGGTGTATCAGGTGAACTCAAGCTTGCAACGCTGGCATCCCATATTGGAACATGGGTTTGAGTTCCTGCTATTCCACTTCCAGTTTATAACACATCTATGGGAGGGCTTCCGACCCCTGACACTCAAGTGGGAGATCTGGATGGAATTACAGGCTAGTGGCTTTGGCCTGGCCCAGCCCCGACCTTTTTGGCTAGCTGGGGAATGAACCAGTGGGTGGATGATCTCTCTGTCTTTTCTTATCACTTTGCCTGTTAAATGAATGTATGAATCTTAAAGGAAACACAAAATTGAGTGCTGGTCAGGGTGAGGAGCAGGTAAAGGTTTTAGTATTGCCAGCGGACTTCAGCATGCTAAAGCCACTTAGGAAAACATTTTGACACTTTTAAATGAAGTTATATTTCATGACTCAATAATTTTGTCTCGATATTTATCTAAGTGAAATAAGACTGTTCATACAGTAACTCATCCTGATGTTCAGTCATGTTATTCAAATCATCAAAATGACACAGTCTCTAAAAATTCTGGCAAAGGAGTAAACATTTCATCAGCATAAAGAATAAAGTGCTGGTCCATGCAAGAATAGTTAATATCAAATGAATTTTACAGGTGGAACATACCATACTGCAAAGGCTATGCACTCGATGAGATTACCCATGTAGCATTCTGGAAGGTCTTCAGGGTCATGGGGTCCTTGAAGATGGACAGTTTTCAGCTGAAGATAAAAGTCCCTTGAGCTAGAAGATGAGCTAGGCAGCATAGACAAGATGATAGAATGGAAGCTGGAAGAAGAGGGATGGGTTGGAGAGTTTAACTCTCCCTTGAGCTCTGTTATATGGAAATTGGTCTGGTGAGAATAAAGGCAGGGCGGAGAACACAAGTGTGCAGAAACAGATCAGTGCAGAGGACACATTCTGAAAGGGATGAAATGAGCAGCACCGCGGGGTCACTGGGGCATAACACAGGCTTAAGCAGACCCAGTTGAAGTCCTTTACTTAGGTTCCACATTCCTACCGGAGAAAGCAGAAGCAGAAAGTTGTATCTTGGATGGGTTGGCATGCCTTGGGGATGGGAGATGGAGCTGAAAGGTAAAGAAGCCAAGAGTCCTTTTTGGAGCAGTGAGGAGCATCATTTAAATGAGGGAGCCGGGAAACCCATGTTTTGGTAGGAGGCTTGTTAAAATATCTTAGTAAATTATTAGGACTTTTGACTTGTCTTAACGCTATGGGGTTGTTTTGTTTTCCCAAAGAAATATCCTTGGGCCCTGTCAAGGGTCTTCTGTTAAGATAAAGAAGGTAGTGGAAAGCAACCTCCCTGAGCCATTCTGGCCCTAAATGGCTGCGGACTCCGGAAGACCTGCAGCCCCATCTCCGCCAGAGCAGACCCCTGAAGAGGACCTCGTGATTGTCAAGGTAGAGGAGGAGGATCAGAGTTGGAACCCAGAATCTACTCCGCATGAAAATAACCCTCCTGGCCAAGAGCTCTTCCGCCTGCGCTTCAGACAGCTGTGCTACCAGGAGACACTGGGACCCCGGGAAGCTCTGATCCAGCTCCGGGCGCTTTGCCATCAGTGGCTGAGGCCGGATCTGAACACCAAGGAGCAGATCTTGGAGCTGCTGGTGTTGGAGCAGTTCCTGACTATCCTGCCTGGGGAGCTGCAGACTCTGGTTAAGGAGCACCAAATAGAGAATGGAGAGGAGGTGGTGACCCTGCTGGAGGACTTGGAGAGGCAGGTTGGCATCCTAGGAAGGCCAGTAAGTAGTTGTGTACTGTGACTGTGGGAGTTGTGGAAGCTGGGTGGGGGCACTCTGCCCTGATGGGGAGAGAGTAAAGGCTGAGTGAGGGAGGGCAACGCAGAGTGTACGGTGTCTTATACGTATGAATTTCTTTCTGTTTTTTATAATGGGTATAATCCATTTTTTGAAAAAATTTTTGTAACCGCCTTTTATCTATATTGCCAGATGGAAACTGATGCATAGGAGACTTAAATTAGTTTTTCACATTTGCTCAATTAATGAAAGGTAGACCCGAGGCCAAACTCTGGCTCCCTGTGTCCTCACCTTAAGGCTTTTTCTGTGGTGTCACGTAGCTGTAAGTGGGTCGTTCTCCTTCTCCAGCCCCTCGGCTAGTGGGTACAAAGCACTAGTACACCACGTAGCAGGGAAGGCACCAACAGAATGCTGGCTACCTGTGTGTTCCTCACTGCCCCAGCCTGGAGCCCTGTGATGTGCTCTTCATCCTCCTGTTTCTCAAAGGCAGTCCTGGTAACCCTGCTCTCCCGATGTTGCCAGGTGCCGGCTCGTCTGCACGGACGCAGGGTCCTCTGGGAGGAGGTGATGAGTTCGGAATCTGCACCAGAGCCTCCGAGTACTCCACTCCGGGCTGCGCCAATCCAGGGTAAGTCTCCAGTGTGCCAAGGCTTGCAGCAGAGAGGTGAGGAGCTGGCTTGTCAACCCAAGCTGAGGGAACATGGAGGAATAGAAAGAAAGAAAAGACAGCCGTGCATTGGGGGCCTGTTGGTTCCCGGAGGCGTGGAGGTAGAATCGGTGTTCACAGACTGTTCCTGTAAGTGCTTACCTAGCTCCGGAAGCGCACTTAGCCAGGGGGGAATTCATGAGCAAGGTAAAGAGTTGGAGTATCTGTGTGTACTCATACATTCTGTTATCACAGTGTGTTCCAGTATATGTGTTTGAGATTTTGCTGGTCAGACATTTTATTTGTAAGTAGTTCAGGCTGTATTTCCTCAAACAAGGACATTTCTGAAACTCCAGTAAAACTCTTCACAAGAGGGAAATGTTCTCTTTGGTATGATACGTATCTCATCCAGAGTTGATGTTCAGTTTGCCCGTTGTCCCACAGCGCAGCCCAGCGTGGCACTTTTGCGATCGTCATGTTTGATTCTTTCCTTTTTGTTTTTAAAATTAAAAACAAAGATATATTATTTGTTTGAAAGGCATAATTAGAAAGATAGGTAGACAGAGAGATCGTCATCTTTCTGCTTCCTTCCCCAAATGCCTACAGTGGCTGGAGCTGGGCCGGCCAAAAGCCAGGAGCCAGGAGCTTCTTCTGGGTTTCCCACATGGGATGGGGGCCTGAAGACTGCTGCTGCTTTCCTGGATACATTAGCAGGGAGCTGGATTGAACTGGAATAATAGGGACTCAAACCTGTACCTTTATGGGCTGCCCATGCTGCCGCGCTGCCCTGCCCCATTATATTGTTGAAAAGATTTATTTATTTATTGATGTATTTTTTATTTACCTTTTTTGGATTTTAAAAAAAATTTATTTTTTTAATGATTACGTGGTTGATCAGGGTGGGAAGGATCGAGGTCTAGGGAAAATTGGGTGAACTAAATGCTTCCAAATTTCTATTTCTTGTTGTTGTTGTTGGGGAAGATTTATTTATTTGAAATAATTGGAAAGATATGAGTATTTTCCATCCACTGATTCATTCCCCAGGTGGCTTCTGGGGCTGAACCAGACTGCAGCCAGGGGCTGGGAGCTGCATCTAGGTTTTTATTGGCAAGGCAGATGTACAAAGAGGAGAGACAGAGAGGAGGATCTTTCTCCGCTAATTCACCCCCCCAAGTGGCTGCAATGGTTTGTGCTGAGCCGATCTGAAGCCAGGAGCCTCTTCCAGGTCTCCCACAGGGGGAGGGGGGGAGGCGGCGCGGGTTGCAGTGCAGGGTCCCAAGGCTTTGGGCTGTCCTTGACTGCTTTCCCAGGCCACAAGCAGGGAGCTGGATGAGAGTGGAGCAGCCACTTTTTTTTTTTTTTTTTTTGTAAAGAATTATTTTATATAAAGTGCAGAGTAACAGGGACAGACAGGGATCTTCCATTCACTAGCTGAAAATGGTTGTTAAGCTGAAGCTGGGGGCCTGATGATAGGGGTACAGGTATTGCTAGTGACTTGACCAGCTGGGCCATAATGCTGCCCCAGTGTCTGTTTTTGATGCTTGAATTGTCTTAGATTTGACCAGATGAGACCCCTTCAACTTAATTCCTGCGTCTGTTTGACATTTCCCACCATTTCTTTTTTTTGAGAATTTTCTTGCTTGCTTATAAGATATTCTAGACTCATCTTTCTCATTTATATAAGCATAGAAACATATTGAATTTATACTATAAGTCTTGCCTAAGGTCCTAATGCTTGTTGATTTTGATAATAACCTGTCGGCTCTCTATAACAAATACTGACACCATTCTGGATGTTGCAATGAGGTAACAAGTAGAGACAGACAGATTCTTTTTTTCTTTTCCCCTTGAGACACTTTTATTTATTTATTTTATTTATTTATTTTATTTTTGATGTTGTTTACATAGTTGAGAAGGATGTATGCTCATGTGGACCACTGATTAGGGTGGGGAGTGTTGAAGTATGGGAGAAGTGGATGAGACAATTGCTCCCCACAGTCTAGCCCCATTAGTAGCCGGGAACGGGTGATGGCCACTAGATACGATCCTAGGGCTCCCAGTGTGGAGCATGTCGCAAAGATACTGCTTCAGTGGTCTCAGTAGTTCTGAGATGCTGTTGGTTCAGTTGCTCTATGGTTGAGGAAATCTTCCCAAGGTCCATTGGCTGACATAGTCCACCTTAGAGTCTCTACTCACTCACATGCAAACTCTGCTGTCAAAACTTGGTCAGGAGACTTGCCTTTTTTGTTCTGCCCTCCATCCTCTGACATGGTACTAGGTGTCCTCTGCAGGCCTCAATGAGCTGTTTGTCATGTCTCCTATGTGCATCTGGGCGTGCAGTTCATTGTACAGACATCAGTAACTGAGGAGGCCCAGTTGCAATGCAATACATGCATTCCATGGTCAGACCACAGATCCTGTGATGTTTCCTGCAGTTGGGGTTTTGAGTCCAGTGGTCCAGTTGGAGGGCTGTTCTCAAAGAACCCTTGCCTGAGGCGACCCCAGACCTGACTCCTGTGTGTGCCAGCCAGTGCAGGTTCTGGTTCAGCCTGTCAGCCACGCCAGCCTACACATACACACTGGTGATTGCAGTTGCCGGATCACTTCTGTGTCCAGCCCCATCTCATATGCAAACGAGTAGATGCTGCGGCTCAGCCTAGTGCTGCCCACCACACCGTCAGCCCTCACGCACATCAATGGGAATGACAGCCTGGTTGCAGGGATACCCAGTAATCCCCACCAGGTCTGCCACCAGCCCTGGTTCCTGTGCATGACGGTATGTGCAGCAGACTCGTCGCTCCATCCCACATCCCATAAGGCTGTCATACACACTGTGGCCTAGCTCAGCTCGACCAACCACACTGTATTCAGGCCACATTTATGCCAGTGGTGGTTGTTACATTGTCCAGCCCGGCCAGCCCCCAGCCCTGGTTCTCATGCTCACTGATGGGAATTGTAACCCATCAGAGGGGTGCCCACAGTTTCCCTACAAGACCCACTCCCACTCCTGGATTGTGCAACTTCCGGGTGGTACTGTGGTCTAGTGTGATGCAACTTGCCCCCAGTCCTGGCATTAGGCAGGCACCTTTTGTGTGGCAAAGCCCGACCAGGCTGCACTTACTGTGGCTCATGCATGCGCCAGTGAATGCAGTGGCCAGGCTCAGTCTGGCTCTTCCCCCAGACCCAGTTTACATGGAGGCCATTGGGTGTTTTTTTTTTTATATATATATATATTTTTTAAAAGATTTATTTTTATTATTTTTTCATTGGAAAGGCGGATATACAGAGAGGAGAGACAGAGAGGAAGATCTTCCGGCCGATGATTCACTCCCCAAGTGAGCGCAACGGGCCAATACTATGCCGATCCGAAGCCAGGAGCCTCTTCTGGGTCTCCCACGCGGGTGCAGGTTCCCAAAGCTTTGGGCTGTCCTCGACTGCTTTCCCAGGCCACAGGCAGGGAGCTGGAAGGGAAGCGGGGCTGCCGGGATTAGAACCGGTGCCCATATGGGATCCCGGGCGTGCAAGGTGAGGACCTTTAACCACTTGCGCCACCGCTCCGGGCCCGGCCATTGGGTGTTATAGCCCTGCCTAGCCTGATCCACCCCAAGCCCCAGCTATTCTCACTAGTGGGAGCAGTGGCCCAGCTGGGGAACACTAGCAGGCCCCCTGTGTGGCTCTGCCTCCTTCCCTCCCATCTGGGGTATTGCATGTGCTGGTGGAAGCTGTGACACAATCTGGCATGGCCCACCTCCTTTGGCAATCACTGGTGGGTGCTACAGTCTGGCTCTGCCCAGCCTTACGCCAGTCCCAGCTTGTGCTGGTGGGTGCTGCAGGGTAGCCCAGCCCAACCAGTCCCCAGTCCTTGCCCTAATGTGTACTGGCTGATGTTATGGCCCTGTTCTGGCTGTCACACTTGCCAGTGGCTGCTGTGGCCTGTCCCAGCCTGGCCTGCTGCCAGACCTGACCCACATGTATGCTGGTAGATATTGTAACTTAGCCTGGTCTCAGCTATTCTCAGCTTTTGCTCTCATGCTCACCAGTGGGAACTGTGCCCTGGTAGAGGAGTTCCCTAACCACTTCTGACAGGTCACCTCCCAGTGGCAGATCTTATAATGCACTAGTGGACGCTTGGCCAGCCTGACTCTGCCCACCTCCTGTCCTGGTATTCCCTGGTGGGTATGGCATCCTTGCCCAACTAGCCTGTACCTATTATGGCTCTTACCAGAGAGTGCTACAGCCCAGCCCCACCCGGCCCACCTCAGGTGGTTCAGTGAGTGTTGTGACCTAGCCCAGTCTGCCATATACCCACTCTGACTCTGATGAGCACCAGTGGGTGCTGAAACCAGACCTAATGTGACATAGAACCAGCCTACACCCATGCTGAGGGATACTGCAGCCACATTCAGCCCAATCCACTACCCCCATTCTTGCTCTTGCATTTACCAGTGGGAACTTTTGCCTGGCAAGGGAGTCCCCTTAGCTTCCCAGCCAGGCCTGCTCCCCGCCATAGATGGTGCATGTGTCGCTGGTAGCTTCAACCCAGCCTGGCATAGCCCATCCCCTGTCTTGGCCCTTGCCATTGGATGCTGCAGCCTCGCTTGGCCTAGCCTGACCTTCCCCTGCTCCCTTCTTGTGCTGGTGGGTGCTACAACCTAGCCTTGCCCAGCTTGCCCCCATCCTCAGCTCTCATGCAAACAGTTGTTTACAGAATTCTAGCCTGCCATGGCCTGCACTCTGTCTTGGCTCCCACACACACCAGGGTGTACTACGACTTGGCCTGGCCTTGTCTGCTCCACCTTCTGAGCTATTCCTTGCACCTGCTGACAGGTGGAGCAGCCTTGCCTGGTCTGGCCCACACCCAGCCCCCAACTCTTGTGCTCACCAGTGGGAGCTCCAGCCTAGTAGGGGAGTTTCCCAAGTTCTTCCTCCCACTCCCACATCCAGATGTGTATCTCATGTATATCAGCAGGTGCCCTGCCCAGCATAGTCCACCCCACAGTTTTGGCCTTTGTGATTGTTGGTGGATGCTATGTCCTGGCCCACCCCCACATCCAGTTCTTGGGTGAGCCTGTAGATACTGGAGCTTGAGTCAGCTCGGCCTACTCAGAACCCCAGTTCCCAGGAGCGTTGGTGAGTTCCATGGTCATGCCTAGCTCAGGCTGTCACTACCCCCAGCTCCCACAGGGATGAACCCACAAATTCCCCTCAGATTCTTGCTCCAGACTTGGTTCTCTCACGTGCTCAGTCATGGCCTGACACTCATGGACAGGTTCTGTGGCCTAGTCCTGCTAGGCAGGCCTCCCAGCCCTAGCTTTTGTGTGTGCCATTGTGCAGGTGTCCTGGTCTGACCCAGACAGGTCCTCTGGCTTCCCCATCTTCAAGCTACTTGGTCTCAGCCCCCTGGTTTACCTGTAAATGCTGTGACCTGGTCTGTGGAAGTTCCCCAGAAGTCATTCTTCACCCGTAATTCGCTCCCTCAATGGTTTCCATTCCTACACATTCAGGGCGGGTCACAGTCACCACTTCATGGCTGAGTTGGCATGGCCCTGGGTCTGGGCTTCTGGCTGTGTGGCATCAAGATGGGTGGATTCAAGTGTTCAGTTGGACAGATCACAGTCTGAGGAAAGAAAATTACATGAGACACAGACAAGTGATTTTGGCATTGAAAATGCTGGCAATTTGAGTATAACTTTAAGGCTGAGTGTGGAAACATCAAATTGCAGATGTTTTGTAGTCGGCCTTAGTTGTCCAAGGTGTCAGCATTTCATTTGCAAAATCATGGTATTCGTCTTCTGCTGAAATGCAAATAAACTGAAATGGAAGAGTGCAGGTTCTCAAAAGCGCAAGACGGGACTGATTTTATTGATAGTTCCTTTCTCTTCCCTCAGCCTTGTGTATTTCTCAGAGTCCTGCCCCTTCTCAGAAAGGAAATTCTGGAGACCAGGAAATGACAGCCACACTGCTTTCAGCGGGCTTCCAGGTGAGTCGGGTTCCTCCTCTCCTGGCCTTCGTTCTGGGTCTGAGCTGTCTGTAGTGGCACCTGCAAACGACTTGCTCCAAATTCTTTGTATGGATGGACTGATTCTTCAGAGTACTCACAGTAGATAAAACACATCTTCCTATTCCCAGTTAGTCAGATCTTTTTTTTTTTTTTTTTTTTTTTTTAAGATTTATTTATTTTTAATGCAAAGTCAGATATAGAGAGAAGAGGAGAGACAGAGAGGAAGATCTTCTGGCCATTGATTCACTCTCCAAGTGACTGCAACAACTAGAGCTGTGCCGATCTGAAACCAGGAACCAAAAGCCTCTCCCAGGTCTCCCACGCAGGTGCAGGGTCCTAAGGCTTTGGGCCTTCCTCGACTGCTTCCCTGGGCCACAAGCAGGGAGTTGGATGGGAAGCGGGGCTGCTGGGATTAGAACCGGTGCCCATGTGAGATCATGGTGGGTTGAAGGTGAGAACTTGAGTCACTAGGCCACCGACCTGGGTCCCAGTCAGATCCTTTTACAAAGTGTGTTCTCTTCCCCCTAGTCCTCTCTGATTGTTAGTGGATTTCTTTGGTGTAGGTTTGAGTTATGAACGGTTCCAGTCCTTCCTCACATGATCTTACTTTGTTTCAGACGTTGGAGAAGATTGAAGACATGGCTGTGTCCCTTATTCGAAAGGAGTGGCTTCTTAATCCATCGCAGAAGGATCTGAGTAGAGATAGTAGACCAGAGGATTGTAGAAACACGTTCTCCCTGGGTAAGGAGAACTGTGGTTATAGCTAATGTTTTTTTTTTTTTTTTTTCTCATTTTTCATATGCCTGGTAGCTGTGAGCTCTCTAGAAGACATAGTTGAATTTAAATTCAGGGTGCAATAGAAGGATTCAGTTTGGAGACTTCTTGAGGTCTAAGGTGAAGCTTCTGTTTTCCATCCAGTGCTTCCCTGTAGTTTGCACCTGTTTACCAGTTAGACATTGGCATCTCTCTGCGGCCTGTGATTTAGTACAGTTCCTCCTTAAATCCCACAGGATTCTTACATAGATTTTCTTTTTTCAGATAAGCCTGTACCTGTACCATTTGAGGCATTTCTCCATTTCTCTCTCTTTTTTTTAAACGTTTATTATTTTTTATTGGAAAGGCAGATTTACAGAGAGAAGGAGAGACATCTGCTGGTTCACTCCCCAAATGGCTGCACTGGCTTGAGCTGAGCCAATCTGAAGTTGGGAGTTGGGAGCTTCTTCCGTATTTCCCATGTGGGTGCAGGGTGCCAAGGCTTTGGGCTGTATTCCACTGCTTTCCCGGCTACAAGCAGGGAGCTGGATGGGAAGTGGAGCAATTGGGGTATGAACTGGTGCCCATATGGGGTGCTAGTGCTTGTAGTCAGAGAATTAGCCAGTTGAGCCACTGTACCAGTCTCAGTTCTCCATTTTTGTCCCATTGTATCTTTGAGTAGTTCTGGTTGGTTCATAATGTGTAACTTCTACTTCTCAGTAGATTCTTTCCTGACTTCAGTTCCCCCTTTAGTTACCGTTATTTATTTTTTTTTAAAGATTTTTTTTGTTTTAATTTATTAATAAGGAGAACAGATTTTCTGCATTTCATAGGTACATTTACAAAAAAAGCAGGAGACAGATCTCACATCTCTTATTCACTCCCCAAATGACTGTAATGGCTGAGGCTAGGCCAGGCAGAAACCAGGAGCCTGATATGCCATCCAGGTATTCCACGTGAGTGACAGGGGTCCAGGTTTCTGGACAGTTGTCTGCTGCTTTCCCTGGTGCGTAGGCTGGCATCTGGATTAGAAGCAAAGGAGCTGAGACTCAAACTAGGGTTCAGATGGGATCCTGGCAGTGCAGATAGTGGCTTAATGTGCTGTACCACACTGCTGGTCCCTCAGTAATGCTCTTTTGTCCTAATACTGCTTCCCTGGTTGGCCTGTGAGATCTTGTCCTATCCTTTATGTATCTTCTGTAGTGGAAAGCTGATTGGGAGGCAGATAGAAGCTCTTTGTTTAGTGTAGCTGTTCTACGTGTATGTTCTCTTTTTCCCTAGCTTCAATTTCTTGTAGCCTAAAGAATAGAAAGTGACACAGCTTGATGTTTATTTATTACATTTTCATTTCAGGTGGTGAGACCAGGAATGAGAACAGGGAATTAGCTTCAAAACAGGTAATACCTACTGGAGTCCAACCACGTGGAGAGACAGCTGCCAAGTGCAACGGGGATGTTTTCAGGGCTCTTGAACGTGGAGAAGCCCAAGGTCCTCTGGGCAGATTAGAGAGGCAGCGGGGAAATCCTACACAAGAGAGACGACATAAATGTGATGAATGTGGGAAAAGTTTTGCTCAGAGCTCAGGCCTTGTTCGCCACTGGAGAATTCATACTGGGGAGAAGCCCTATCAGTGTAACGTATGTGGTAAAGCCTTCAGTTACAGGTCAGCCCTTCTTTCCCATCAGGATATCCACAACAAAGTGAAACGCTACCACTGTAAGGAGTGTGGTAAAGCCTTCAGTCAGAACACAGGCCTCATTCTGCACCAGAGAATCCACACCGGGGAGAAGCCGTATCAGTGTAATCAGTGTGGGAAAGCTTTCAGTCAGAGTGCGGGCCTCATTCTGCACCAGAGAATCCACAGTGGGGAGAGACCCTATGAATGTAATGAGTGTGGGAAAGCTTTTAGTCATAGCTCACACCTCATTGGACACCAGAGAATTCACACTGGGGAGAAGCCCTACGAGTGTGACGAGTGTGGGAAAACCTTCAGGCGGAGCTCACATCTAATTGGCCATCAGAGAAGCCACACCGGGGAGAAGCCCTACAAATGTAATGAATGTGGGAGGGCCTTTAGTCAGAAGTCAGGTCTTATTGAACATCAGAGAATCCACACTGGAGAAAGACCTTATAAATGTAAAGAATGTGGGAAAGCTTTCAATGGGAACACTGGCCTCATTCAGCACCTGCGAATCCACACAGGGGAGAAACCCTATCAGTGTAATGAGTGTGGGAAAGCCTTTATTCAGAGGTCGAGTCTAATTCGACATCAGAGAATCCACAGTGGAGAGAAGACTGAATCCGTGGTCGTTTAGGAAAAGCTTGTCATAGTTTGAGCAGTGTTCAGCATTAGGGAAAGCACGCACTGAAGATCTTCAGTGTAGAAAGGCACAGTCTGATTATTGCAACCTTATCCAGTGTCAGTGGTGGCCAAGTTAGGATGGCTCCTCCTCCTCGGTAGTTTGGGCCAGTGCCTTGGTGCAGGTTGGTTAGTTTGACTGTCATTGGAGGTATGTGAAGAATCGGTGCTTCTAATGGCCTGATATAACCTAGCCTTTAGAACGTAGCGTCAGAGCAAGTTGCTTGTCACAGCTTGAGACAAGTTTGTCTTTCAGTGATTAGCTGCAAGTTTGAGAGAAGCTACTACTCTGGTTCCTCTGTTTCTCCCCATCTGTGAGACTTTTCTTCCCTTCATTGCCTGAAGCTTCCTTTGGACTTCTGACCTGAGAAGGTCCTCAGAGTCCAAGGCAGCTGCTCTGTGAGACTTATATTTGTATGTAGCTTTCTAAGATCCTACTTCTAGGGAAATTTTTTACGGTTGCTTAATGTGTTTATGCTTAAGTGTGCACTTTTTAATTCTGATGTTCCTTGTGGTGATCCGTGTTCTCACACAAACTCAGAATGCAATATTTTTAATAACACTGCAGCATTTTTCTTCACATTATCACCTTCACTGACTCCACTGAGTTGAACAGCAAGTGTATGTATCCTTCAGCACCCCCACCCAGTCCCTGTCAGGAAAGGAAGTGGAGGCGTTAGTGGCTGTGGCAGAGATACAGAAAATGAGGTGAGTGGAGATAGTGCAGCTATTTTTTGAGCTTGGGTATTCATACTTTTTAGTGACTTCTGACTCCCCTTCCACCTCCTTTTCTGTGGAACAAATAGGAATTTTGCACTATCCTAGTATTGGCATCACGTAGAAATAGGAGACGGAACTGCTTGAAAAAGGTGCAGAAACCGTTACACAGAATGTACCATTCCTTGGTCCATTGAGTGCTGTTCCAGGTTCTATAAGCTTGTGCAAACTCCTGGACTAGGTTTGTCACTATTCGTTACCCTGGAGCCACCTCCTTAGGTAGTGACCTGCCATCATTTTCTGTATTTCTTGCACATTAATTTATGTAATATCCACAATGGTAATCTGTCAGATACCTCCCAGTTCATCTTTTGTCTGAGTTTTGATGCATACCACATATATTCCATATCTGTACTTTTCCTGCAAGATACACACGCTTAAGCTCAGCACATCATGCACTGTATGCCATCTTTGAGGCTTTCCATTTACTAAGGGATGCTGTGTAAAGTAAGCAACTAGTTTAAAGTAATGTGCTAAAACCTGCTGCAGAAGGGATTATCCTTCAAGTTCTGTGGTACCAGTTATTCCAAATCACCGTTGTTCCCATTACGCTTAGAAGTCTTGCTAATAGATCAGAATAGAAAGTATTTTTTATGGTCATTTTTCATTTTTTGCTGCTTGATTAACCCTTGAATCATCAGAGTTAGAACTGGATAGCTTTTGGTTTTCCAGAGTAACTGTCAAACTTGAAATGGATTCTATAAGCGAGTTCATAATAAAATTACACATGTCCTTGTGAGCACTTCAAAGAAAGTAATACAGTTTTACACTGTGGCTAACACTTAATTGATATGACAAAATCACATGTAGGTTTTCTATATCTATTTCATTGAGCCGTAGGTATCTATCCATTACATATTATTGTGATTTCCTTGGTCAGTTTTTTTTTTTTCAAAACATTTCATTATCCATTATACATTACTAACATTTTTTCCCCCAAGAAATTAGAAGCAAGTAAATACGGTTGTATGTAGATCCTTGCTTTGTGCTTCGTTGTGCCTTACTCTTGGTAGTACTGGCGAGCTAAGTTGAGCGAACGGTAGAGTGATGGGTAGAATCAAGCAGTGTATGACTTCCAGATTCAAATACATTTCTCTCTAAACTGGCTATGGCAATGATGGGGAATCTTTCTGTCTGCTAAGGGCCATTTGGATATTTGTAACATCATTCTTGGCCATACAAAATTATCAATGTAAAAATTAGCCTCAAATTTGAATCCTGCCTGTAATGGTCTTATTAGGTTCAGGTGAAATGATTTTGTGAATATTATATAACCTATGTTTCCTACCCCTGGCCTAAGGGAACGTAGAAGTATGGAAGGAATTGAAATATCCATATGCCAGGCCAGGCAGATGGACAGTAAGCTTACCTATAGCATAAAATGAGAAAAGCCTTCCAGCTCATTGCCGGTTTCCAGTCACTGTCCTGTGTTTCCTGTGACAGTTCTGGTTTTTCAACCCCCATGTCCTCATTCATTCTTAAACCAGTAGATAATGTTAAGGCTGCTCTTTAGTTGGTGATCTGGATTTACTGATACTGCATATTGTTGAATTTTGTCTGTCTCTACTTTGGTTAATGGAAACCGCCCCCCCCCCCCCAGCCATCCCTGTCCGCTTCTGACTTTTCTTTACTGATCTCTGTTTCCTTCCTCTCTTCACTGAGAATAATCCTCATGTCTTATTTTTATTCAGTCCTTTTAAAAAATTTACTCATGTTTATCCATTTGAATGACTTCCTATTTTGCACTTTGTTGAGTTTTCCACAGGTGTCTGCACAACTTAGTATTTGAAAACAACTCAACATTCAGCTGTCTCGTTGCTAATTTTTTTTAAAAATAGGTATCATTGCTTAATTGCTTTACCTTGAACACAACACAATACTCCTATGTATCATTTCCTAGCTGTGGAGTAATCATTTCATCTTTCTCTGTTCTTCATGTTTCATGCTCCCACATCTAGCTGTTGGTCCAGTTGCTGGTCTTCTCCTTGGTGCTTGGTCTTTTACATTTCTGCCATTCCCTGATAGCCCTCTGTGCAGATAAGGTCCAGGTTACGGGAATTCTTGTTTTTAATTTCCTTTGTATCATGATCACCATCTTGTAGGATGCTCCTAGAATGATTCACCTTAAACTCTGTTTCTAGATGTTTCATTTTAACTCAGTAGTGCCCAACAGGTAATTCCTGTCAGAGCAGTGGTGTTCTAGGTTCTTCATGACCTTACCTCAACCTTTATTACTCTTCGGCAGATTCCACCCGATTCATGACATTCAGACCTGCTGTAGCTTGCTGCTGCCTGACAAGCTCTCGCCTCTGTGCCTTTCTCCTGGTCAACTCTCCCCTCAAAGTCCAGCTTCTTTTAATTTCTTCTGAATAAGGTCTCCCTAATTGACTTATTATATTGAACCCTTCCTAACGGTGTTGTTTAAGCACTTTTGAGTTTGTACAATGGCCCATGCACTGGCTAGTATTGTTTTTATAATTATTTTCTAGCATTAATATTGTAGTTTCACATTTTATTTATTTCCAAAATTAAATTGTAAGCTCCTTGAGAGCAGGAATAATAATTTACATTTGTAGCTTTGTACTCCTTCGTGCCTAGTACAGTGCCTAGCACATAGTAGGCATTTAATAATAAATGTTGAATTGTTGTGTTTTTTTAATGGTGTGACTTATAGAAATTTTATGCTGTTTTCAAAGATGTCTTTTACCACTCTGTGCATTCCATAGTAGTATGTCAGAATCTGCCTAAACCTAAGAATAAACACACACAAAAAAATGCACTTAGAGAGGTATGTGTGGAAATGTGAAAGCTGTCTATTTGCTTAGCCATATTTGTTTATAGGTTAAGAAAGATAGGAAATGGGAAAACAGACTATAGTATGATGTTAGAATTGTGAACATGCTGGAGACCAGGTTTGTGAGTGTGGAGACATGTTTGATGGCCAGCTGAGGTGATCCTGGAGGTTAAGAATGCTACTGAACCTGTGCGAGCACAGGACAACCACCACAGCAATGCTATGGTGAGGTTGAGAGACTGGTTTACATATAGTGAAATAGGGGGTAGGAAATTAAACTTATATTTTAAAAATAATGCAATGCTTTAAGATGTCATAATTGATCAAACAGACAATGAGAAATGCTTAACAGAGAAATGATTATATTTATCTACGTTGTGGCCATCATCCACACTTTCAGAGGACATGCTTTGTTTAAGAACATACAGGCTTTTATACTCTGAGAGAATCCAGTATCATGCAAAGCTTTCATTAATCCTTATCTTATGTGAAGCTAGCAGTTCTTAGAATAATTTCTCTTATGTTAGCAGAACTTAAAAAAAGTAAGGTAGAAGACATTGACAGAGTTTTGGTGTGCTTTGGTCCATTATTTATAAACCAAGGAAAACAGTAAGAAAAGATAATGTGGAGGGCAGGGACATTCTTTTCTGTGATTTTTAACTAGAGGGAGGCACAAATGAGAACAGTGGGGCGTTCAATCTGTTGCTTGTCGTTCCAAGGTTTGTCACAAACCCAGGTGTTCCTGGCTTGTGGATAGCTCCCTTGTCTATCGATTCATTCCGCTCCTTCAAAGAGAATCTTAAGTGTTGATATATTCTATGGTTCATTAAGATTATTAAAAAGCCTAAATGTTTATAATTCTCAACAATCTCATGTATCAGGGTATTGATACTCAATAAAATGGTGGATAATGTTTTGGGGGGCTTTATTTTAATTTTTAATTTTATGATACAGTTCCCTTAGTTCCCTTTAATTTTATGATACAGTAGGGCCTTAGATTTCCCCACAATTTCCCACCTCCTGACTGATTTTCCCCATATTATTACAACAGAATAATCCTTCATCAGCAATCATAAGTTCGTCAATCTGTTATTGTATTTAACAGACAATGTCGGACAGTTCAGCATCCCATTGTCTAGATATATCCAGCAGTTTCATTGGGAGTCCATCTTTGATTTGGAAGCAGGGATGCATACTGCATTGTATCTTCACATCTGAATATGGTAGTCTCTATTATGCTGCAACTATACTTTCCCTAAAATGAGAAGCCACAAAACAAAGTCAACAGCAGTAGTTAAACTAAAAATGTACAGCACCATGGAGTGGAAAAATGTGCCACTGAATAGCCAATGCATGGATGAAAAAGGGAAAGCACAAAACCGTCTTAGATAAAATGATGCCACTGTGCAGTCTATGAGCCAGCAATAAGTTCGACAAGAGAAAAGAAACTATTTGGAAAAAATGAAAATGAAGGGCCTGATACCGTGGCCTAGTGGCTAAAGTCCTCACCTTGAACGCTCCGGGATCCCGTATGGGCGCCAGTTCTAATCCTGGCAGCTCCACTTCCCATCCAGCTCCCTGCTTGTGGCCTGGGAAAGCAGTTGAGGATGGCCCAAAGCTTTGGGACCCTGCACCCGTGTGGGAGACTTGGAAGAAGTTCCTGGATCCTGGCTTCGGATCGGCCATTGTGCTCACTTGGGGAGTGAATCATCGGACGGAAGATCTTCCTCTCTGTCTCTCCCCCTCTCTGTATAACTGACTTTCTAATAAATGAATAAATCTTTTAAAAAAAATGAAAACAACAACATCAAAACACATGGGATGCAGCAGAAACAATATTGAGAGGGTTATTGATCTTACAGTTTGCATGAAGGCTGTCTTGTATCAGAGAGAATGTGTGTTGTTTGTCCTTTTAGGATTGACTAATTTTGCTGAGCATAATGGTCTGTAGTTAGGGCCATCTAGTTGAAAATGGTATAATTTCATTCTTTTTAATGGCTGAATAATATTCCATGGAGTAGATGTACCACAGTTTCTTTTACCACACTTCTTTGGAAGGGCATATGGGTTGTTTCCATATCTTTGCTATTGTAGATTGTGTTGCTGCAAATATAGAATTACAGATCCCGTTCTCATATGCAGATTTCACTTCTTTTGGATATATTTCCAGGAGTGGGATAGATGGGTCATGTGGCAGATTTATTTGCAATTTTCTAAGCACTCTCCATACTGATTTCCACAATGGTTGTACTAGGCTACACTCCCACCGATGAAAGATGGTGCCTTTCTCCCCACATCCACCCAGCATGATGTGGCCGTAGAGTTTTGAAATTTAGGCGAACCTCATTGGAGTTAGGTGGTACCTCAATGTGGTTTTCATTTGTATCTCCCTGATGGCCAGGGAGCCTGAGATCTTTTCATATATCTGTTAGCCATTTGAATCTGATCCTTTGAAAAATGTTCAATTATTCATTTCCTTTGCCCAATTTTTCAGAGTTTGTTACTGTCCCTGTGTTTCTGAAGCTTTTTTAAAATCCTGGATATTAGTCCCCTATCACTTGTGTGGAATGCAAAATTGTCTCCCATTCTGTTGGTTGCTTCTTTACTTTGTCAACTGTTTCCTTTGCTGTACAGAAGCTTTTTAGTTTGATGTAGTCCCATTTGTTCATTTTGGCTTTGATTGCCTTTGCTTTGGGCGTCTTTCCTAAGAAGTCTTTCCCTGTTCCTATAACTTGGGGAGTGCTTCCTATGTTTTCCTTTAATAGTTTGATGGTTTCTGGGAGTAGATTTAGGTCCTTGATCCATTAGAGCTGATTTTTGTATAATGTGACAAGTGTGGGTCGTAATTCTTTTTTTTTTTTTTAAAGATTTATTTTTATTATTTTTTTTATTGGAAAGACGGATATACAGAGAGGAGAGACAGAGAGGAAGATCTTCTGTCCGATGATTCACTCCCCAAGTGAGCACAACAGCCGATGCTATGCCGGTCTGAAGCGAAGAGCCTCTACTGGGTCTCCCACGCGGGTGCAGGGTCCCAAGGCTTTGGGCCGTCCTCGACTGCTTTCCCAGGCCACAGGGAGCTGGAAGGGAAGCGGGGCTGCCGGGATAGAACCAGCGCCCATTTGGGATCCCGGGCATGCAAGGCGAGGACCTTAACCACTGTGCCACCGCTCCGGGCCCGGGTCGTAATTCTTAATTCTGCATGCTGATATCCAATTGTTCCAACAGCAGTTGTGGAAGAGACAAGGCTTTTCCCTTGGATTATTTTCAGTTTTCTTGTCAAAGATTAGTTAGCTGTACATGTGTAGGCTCCCTTCTGGTGTTTCTATTCTGTTCCATTGATCATCTCTGTTTCTGTACCAGTACCAGACTGTTTTGATGACCACTGCTCTTAGTATGTCTTGAGGTCTGGAATTGTGATTCCTCTAGCTTGATTTTTATTCTTCAGGATAGCTTTGGCTATTCATGGTCTCTTATGTTTCCAGATAAACTTTTGTATCTTCTGTTTCTAAGAAGAATATTGTTGGTATTTTGATTTGGATTGTGTTAAATCTACAGATTACTTTTGGTATGGACATTTTGATGATGTTGATCCTGCCAGTACAGGAACATGGTAATTTTTTCTATTTTTAAAGGTCATCTTCTATTTTTTTTTTGATGTTTTATAATTTTCATCATCGAGGTCTTCCACATATTTAGTTATATTAATTCCTAGGTAATTAAGATTCCTTTCCACTATTTTAAAGGGGACTGTACTTACAATTTCTTTCTCAGCCATGGAATTATTTATGTACACTAGTGCCAGTGATTAATGTACATTAATTTTTAAAGCTGCTACCCTACCAGATTTTCTTATGAGTTCCAATAGTCTCTTGACTGAGTCTTTTTATTTTTTAAAAGATTTATTTTTGTCGGAAAGGTGGATATACAGAGAGAGGAGAGACAGAGAGGAAGATCTTCCATCCGATGATTTACGCCCCAAGTGAGCACAACGGCCGATGCTATGCCGATCCAAAGCCAGAGGACCTTAACCACTGCGCCACTGTGCCGGGCCGTTGACTGAGTCTTTTGATTCTCCTAAGTAGAGAATTGTGTCATTGGCAAGTAAGGATAATTTCAATTCCTAAGGTAGTGGTGAGAGTGGACATCCTGTCTAGTTTCAGATTTTAGTGGAAAAGCTTCCAATCTTTGCCCACTAATATGATGCTGGCATTTTTTTTTTTTTAATATTGCTGTGATTGTATAATAGAATGTTCCTTATCTTGCTTAAGACTTTCAGGATGAAGTAGTATTTTATCAAATGCCTTTTCTGCATCTACTGAGATAATCATATGGTTTTATTCAATTTGTTGATGTGATGTATCACATTGATTTGCAAATTTTGAACTGTCCCTGCATGCCTGGGATGAATCCCACTTGGTCTGTGTGAATGTACCATTGGATCCTGTTGGCTGGTATTTTGTTGAGAATCTTTACATTATATTTATGAAAGATATAGGTCTGTAGTTCTCTTTTTGAGTTGTGTCTCTATCTGGCTTTGATATTAATGTGATATTGGCTTCATTGAATTTGGAAGGATTGCCTCCCTCTCTGTTGTTTGGAAAAGCTTGTGGAGGATTGGGGTAAGTTCCTCTTGAACCATGTGGAAGAATTCAGCAGTGAAGCCATCTGATCCAGGACTTTTCTTGGTTGGAAGGGCTTTAATTGCTGATTCAATCTCAGTGCATGTTATTGGTCTATTTAGATTATTAATTGCTTCTTGATTCAATTTTGTGTCCAAAAATCCATCCATCTCCTCTAGGTTTTCTGATTTGTTTGCATATAGTTGCTTGTAATAGTTCCTGATCATTCTTTGT